TTCTCACCATTTGCTTTCTTTTAAATTAGTCTGAAATAAAGTTACGATTTTTTAATTTATTTTATTGAACAAGATAGAACAGATCACTGAGCACATGGATGAGATGTGCACCTCAAAAGGTTTTGCATGTATTGAAGGCAACTCGCAGGTAACACCTCAAAATGAGGGATACAAGGCACCTGCATACATTTTCTTTCTATTATTCAAATAATAGTTTCTAAAGCCATCTGAAAGCTTTTTCAAAGCACAGGGTGCTATGAAGAAAACTCACAATGCAAGAAATTACCTCTCAAAGTTCTCATGCCAAATCCCAGCCTTTTATTTACACCACAGATGCAATTTCACAGGATTGGACAGGATAAAGTTTCCAATTTCATTGGAAAATTAGCTAAAATAACTCTTTGGGAAATATGCTTTACTGTGGTAATAACAGTCAGTTCAGTCTGGTTTTGTCCTCTCTGTCTACTGTGACCACATACACTCACTTTGCATACATCCATCCATTATCTAAATAATACATTCCCTTACAGTTCAACCATTTTAGGTATGGCCATTAAAAATTCTTCTATGCAGACTCACTAGAGGTTCTGCATTATCCTACCATACCTATAAGACAGTTATGTCCATTCTCATCCTCTAATTTTAAATATCTTGTTAAAATTACTTATTAGGGGTATAATAGTCCAACACTTCAACAAGATTTAACAAACGGAGGAAAATGTCATACCTGGATTATTGTTTACATTATTTTTGGGAGGTCTAGGCGTTGGTTTGGGAAGGGTAGTTTCACTCAATGCTTTGCTAGCAGCAGCATGTTGGGCCTTTTTAATACTGCTTCCTTCAGCTTCCCATGTCTGTTCTCCAAGAGTCAGCTGCACTGTGAACATCTTCAAAGACAAAGAACAAGCAAACACTAGCAAGATTATCACTGTGGATTAGATCAATCTGTATAAAAACTTCCAGGGCTGAAGAGAAACTATGCTCTCTTTTCATTGTATTCAACTGACAGATAAGACATCTGATTCTTCCAGAGATCAGGGAGACCTTATCAGTGGCAACATTTGGCCTTTCAAATGACAAAGTGAAATAGTGGAATGCTAATGTCAGCTATCAAAGAACAGAATAATGTTTAAACCAAGTAATAATAACTGCAAACTGATCCTCTGCTCCTGGAAGATATATATGTTAGCTAAGAACATATTTCTTCATACATTGGAATATGTTTAGTCACTTTACATGCAGAAAACAGGTACTAAACATGCTACTGAAAAAAAAAAGGTGATTTTGTAATAATTATGAACAAATATAAATGACTGCACACCCTTCAAGGCACCAGAGAATTTGGGCCAGATAGTTTTACACAGTGAAAGAATTTCTCACCCAACCTGATTTCTAAAAATAATGCGCATTGTTAGGGCAGAGTCACAACTCAAATATGTTCAAAAAGATAAAGCGAGAAAAAAAAGAAACATCTTTTTTAAAGAAACTGCAGTTCCTTAAGGTAAAATCTAGAGTGAGGACAGGAACTGTAAATATCCAGAGTTGAGAAATGGCCTAACTGATAAAAAACACATATTTCAAAATCTGTGATAGAGGACTATTTCAAGCAGTATCTGTGCTGTGCAAGTTGTGAAGATAAAACTCAATGCACGTTTAAGATATAGGATAGAGTCTATCTTCTGTATGATACACACGTTCTGTTTCAATTTGAGCATCTAAGAATAAGGAGAAAGGGCAGGAACTCACTATCTTGATGATACCAATTCCACAGACATAAGGCAGGATTTAATAATCAGACACACAGTAACCTAAGATATACCTGTCTCAGAAAACAGAGTAAGTTACTTGCGAAAACATTAAAAAAAAAATCTATGTATTAATATGAGCAGCATGGAAAGTAAAATTTTCATTGCAATAGATCTATAACTTCTTGTAATTACATGTACTTGCAAACAAGCATTTGGACACAAGTATGTGTGTGCCTCCCAACTTAGCCCTATGCACATGGTGCATACAGACCAAACACTATAAGTACATACCAGGGGAAAGAAATAGGCTCTTAATTTTGCATTCTGTCAAATCCTACCCCACCTGAAAGCTGAGCTGGGGATTAGAGCTAAATACACATATTATATAAACTACCTACAAACATACATCTTTATTACTAAAAGAACTGAAATTTCATTTCTCGATCTGGAGTTTATATATTTTATATTTTGCAAGAAAGTATCAGTGCAGCATTTTTATGGGATTTAAATGAAAATATGATTAATAATGGATGCTTATCTACCTATAACTCTCCTCTTAGTGCTTAGAGCAAGAAAGAGGAAGTCAAGATAATAAAGGGCTTTCTCAATAAACTTCTGTAGCCAGAGCTCTAACTTAGCCTATCTGCCAAAACACTCCTGCAAACCCCCACACATAGTAGCAGGTTTATTCTTTTAATTAGAGGAATAAAACTGCCTAAACCCAAACTCTGAAGCAGCCAATGAAACACTCAAGTCCTGCAAGATCAGAGCTAACTGTTTTGCTGTTGACTGAGAGACATTTCTCACCAGTTTTCTGAGAAAGTTTCTATTCCTTACACCCCACTTAATTCACCTGATGTCCAGAGAGCAGAAATGCAAAGGCTGCTGTGCCCTGTGCTTGCTTTCACTCCGCAGTGTTGCTAAGGTCAGCCTCCCTTAGCTCTGGTAATTCTTTCCTCCTCACTTCTGCATTTAACCTTTCTCTCCCTTCCTAGCCTTTTGAAGTGCTACATCCCTTACCCTTTTCCCTTTCCTTTGAACCACCATCCACTTTCTTTTGCCACTGTTTCTTTTAAACTTGTGTCCTGAAATGACACGGACATAGAAGCACAGGAGAAATGATCAATCTGACTAATGTACTCAAAAATGTCATTTATGCTAGCAAAGTCTTACTGATTTTTCTTATGATGAAGAATCCACCTGGAGGGCAGACTCCTGGAAACCCTAACTGTGCTGTCAGGAAGCACCACTTCTCTCTCAATGCCACTGTTTCTAGTTTTCCATTTCACCCCTATTGTCAAAACTTACTTTCCAGAGACAACTAGAAAAAAGGATACAAAAATTTGCTAGCATTTGTGGTCAAGACACAGACAGCTATCTTGTTCAGTGTGTCTCTGAAAATCATGAAAACCACTAGTGGACAGGAACAGAGTATGTGTAGGAGGAAAGCAATGTGAGAAGCTCCTTAAATGGCAAAGAGCAGCAGCAGCATTACATCCTTCAGGTCATGTTTTCTAGAACAAACTGAGCTCTGTTTCACATAGTCTATCAGGTATATAATCATATTCTTAGCAAGATATGATACTAAATTGCTAACAGAGTCATAATAAATTCTATGTCTCTGCATTTCATAGGTCAAAGGTACACAAGCCTACATAATCTTATCACCCTTGTTCTTCATTCCCTTCTCTCTTTTGTTTTTCTCACTTGCTGCACAGATCAAAATCAGACTTAATATTCTTGAGTCTACAGAGTACATATCTGCATTTTTTCACTGCTATGACTGCAACTAAAAATCATGAGGCAAATTGAAAAACTGAAAAATTAAGAAATCCATTGAAAATCTGGCTTTCAAAAGCACAGCTTATGCAGGCTGGAGTCATTTCAATTATATTAGTTCCTTTAAAAGTAATAATAAATATATCATAGAATCATTAAGGTTGGAAAAGACCTCTAAGATCATTAAGTCCAACCTTTGACTGAGCATCACCACGTCAACTAAACCATAGAACTAAGTGCCATGTCCAGTCATGTCCATGTTACTTCCAGAGATGAGGATTCTTCTGCTTCCCTGGGCAGCCCATTCCAATGCTTAGCCACTTTTTCAGCAAAAAAAATTCTTCCTGGTGTCCAACCTGAACCTCACCTGGCACAGCTTTGAGGCTATGTCCTCTTGTTCCATTGCTAGCTGCCTGGGAGAAGAGGCTCCCCCTTCACATGTGAACTACTTCTTATTCTGCTAAAATTTTAAGTATAGTATGAATGTACTACAACTCAAACCTCTTTACTGTTGAGAAATATAAACAGACAAAACCATAGCTTTTGGTACAGTCAAAGCACTTCTTAATTCACAGTAATGCAAGAAGGCAACAAAATAAATATACAACACTATAGTGAGAAGTTACAGAAAGCTCAACATATTTAACATGCTGCAACCTAAAACCAACCAACCAGTGTACCCTGTGCCAAATGCCTCCAAGGAAGAGCACTTCAATCTCCATTTGCAGTGAGGGATCCTAAAGGCTTGCTGATTCTCAGCAGCCCTGCACCTGCTGACACCATTTCCACTGCCACAATGCTTTTGTGGACACCAGTCAAACCAGAAGGTCAGTGACTTGCATCAACTCTGTGCTAGCTGACAACATAATCTGCAACTCAGCAACAAGGGGCAACAGCAGAGATAGCCCATGAGGAACTGAAACTGATCTGCAGCATGACCCCACTTATGGAGGGTTGTTGTTTTCTGTGATTTTTCCACTCTAGAAATACTAAATACACAGCAGCTATTAATGATGCCAGTGTTTCTCTCAGAGTTTTCGAGGATTTTTTCTCTTCCCCCAGTTTGCTCCTAACTAGGGAGGAAATTCAAAATAATGTCTGAAAATTATTATAATGAGAATATTTCTTTGTGTTCTCCATCATCCAAAAGCATCCTGATTTGTACCTATTAAGTTGGATATTCAAACTGATATGAGAATTGACCAGAATTAGCTGTCAGTATCACCATACAGCCTAAAGTTGCACAGTAATAAAGTTTGTGCCCAATAAGGCAAGATTCAAAGACAGAATAGGAACTTTAAGGACAGAGAGTTGTATCAATAAACTCTTTTTAAAATGTCATAAACTAGTTTTGCTGCCATCTGCACTACCATGAAACAAATGCAGAAGCAGTTACCAGAGGCACACTGACTGGGGAGAAAGATTCATGCAGCCTAAAACCCAAATGCTCTATAATGATTAAGAAAGGGTCCTAATACCCTGAAAAGCCCTTCACAACGTCTTTATAGAGACCAACAAATATATAGACCAAAACTCAAGGATAGAAGACAAAGTAAGGTACAAAATGTTCTACAGGGCTTCAACAGAAATTATAGAGGCATATTTTCTAAAAGTGTAAGAGAAAGAAAGAGAAAGTGAAAGAGAAATTGAAAGAAAAAGGAAAAGAAAGAGAAAGAAAGAAAAATAAAAAGAGAAAGAAAAAAAGGAAAAGAAAGAAAAAGAAAAAGAAAAAAGAAAAAGAAAAAGAAAAAGAAAAAGAAAAAGAAAAAGAAAAAGAAAAAGAAAAAGAAAAAGAAAAAGAAAAAGAAAAGAAAAAAGAAAAAGAAAAAGAAAAAGAAAAAGAAAAAGAAAAAGAAAAAGAAAAAGAAAAAGAAAAAGAAAAAGAAAAAGAAAAAGAAAAAGAAAAAGAAAAAGAAAAAGAAAAAGAAAAAGAAAAAGAAAAAGAAAAAGAAAAAGAAAAAGAAAAAGAAAAAGAAAAAGAAAAAGAAAAAGAAAAAGAAAAAGAAAAAGAAAAAGAAAAAGAAAAAGAAAAAGAAAAAGAAAAAGAAAAAGAAAAAGAAAAAGAAAAAGAAAAAGAAAGAGAAAAATAAGAAAGAGAAAAAGAAAGAGAGAAAGAGAAAGAAATAGAAAGAAAAAGAAAAAAGGAAAAGAAAGAGAAAGAAAGAGAAAGAAAAAGAAAAAAGAAAGAGAAAGAGAAAGAAAAAGAAAAAGAAAAAGAAAGAGAAAGAAAGAGAGAGAGAAAGAGAGAAAGAGAGAGAAAGAAAGAGAGAAAGAGAGAGAAAGAGAAAGAGAGAGAAAAAGAAAGAAAAAGAGAAAGAGAGGAGAGAAAGAAAAGGAAGAAAAATAAAAGAAAGCTCTTACACCAGAAATATAGCTGGGTTTGACAAGCACACTCATCCAGACCATGACATTATCTGTTCAGCATTTAAGGTATGGCTCATCACCTGGAACTGTGACCTTACCTTGGCATGAGCAGGCCCTCTTTCGTTCAGGAGCTTATACTGGGGTTGAATTCTATTGAAACGGGCTAACTCATTTACCAGACACATTGGAGTTTTCTCTTTGGGGTTTGCCATGTTATCTTGGAGAGGAGCTGCAAAGAAAGAGTCTGTAAAGCTTTTGTGGAGAAATGCATTCTTCAGAACTTTGCAAAGCTTTGCAAAAGCAGCATGCTTAAAAAGAAAATACTTTGGCTAAAATATCAGTTTTGCACGTATGCTAAATACGATGTTTAAATACCACCTACATATTAATCGTATGAGGATATGCATTTTACAATAACAATTTTGGTTACATGCAATTAAAAAAACCCAACAACTACTTCTTTCCAAAACATCTCTATGAAAGATGACAGTGTAGGGGAACACACACATATTCTATAATTTCTACAACACCAAAGTTTACTGTCAGGTGTGTACTGGTTCCCAGCATTAACTATTCTTTCAGAATGGTTTCTCAACACTCTGAAGCAGAAGTGAATAGCATAAGAGTTATGAGATAAATATTGTAGGTGAAACTCTGTGGTCCCCACTTGCTTCTCCCTCCTTCTTCCCAGTGTTTAGACTTTGCTCACAATAATGAAGTCACACTCAGAGCACTCCCAAAGAACACCTTTCCCTTCCCCTTTAAGGATTTTGTTCTGCTTTTTTTGAGACTATTTAACTTTCTGCGATTTTTTTCATTTATTTGTATTTATCTCTAACACACACACACACACTGTCAGTTCTTGCTTAAATTTTTAGGACAACATTTCTGCACTTTACACCCAGTTCAGCATAGGAACTACAGCATTTATTAGGCTACAAAGGAAACACCAAATACTGCCAAGCAGTCAGAAGACATTCTGTTCTAGGGAAGAGAAATAAACTTGGAGACCTTCCTGCACCACTAAAACTTCTGTATAAAAGATACACTCAGAATTTGACAAAATAGACATGTTCTTTTCTGAGCTTTTATATCATTGATCAATACTTCACTGTAAGCCTGAGCTCAATTAAAGAAACAACTTAGCAAACTATTTAGCTGAAACACTTTTCTACAGGTTTTTTTTTCATTATTTTAATCCTCTTTAAGACCCAATCATCTTTTATTCTTTTTCAAATTAACAAGACATCAAAAAGATTCATTTGAACACCAAAGAAAATACACCTGGGCCAGCTTACCTGGTGAGTTGTTAGAAGAGGCAGGATCCACAAGGTTGGCAGCAGGACTGCTGCAGCTGGTAGCCGATTCAGAAATGGATCCATTCATTGAGGATGGCAGACTCAGGGTATTTGCAGCTGTAACTGGCAGGGGTAGCACCATAGGGGACATGGTGGGTCCAGACAGGTTTGCTGTAGTCTGCATCTTAACTTGTGCCATTGCCTGTCACTGCAATAAACAAACTGTTATGAGCAGAGCACTTATCAGTAGGGCATTTGCGTTTTGAATGTCAAATGACTGTAGTGATACTAGGAACACTCTTTTTTTGCTTCTGGATCTGGGTCACAAAACTGTCCACAAAAGTCATGCCTCTGCAAACATTACTTCCAAATGGAAGCACAGAGAAAAAGAGCTCAGAGCCAAAGAACATCACTGGAGAAGAACCCACACACCCTGGCTCCAGGTCCTGTTCTTCACCTGTGGGGTGACTGCCTGAAATATATGACTACTCCAGAATAATAGAAGAATGATTATTCCAGAAAAGAATTATCCTGCAGATGAGATTAGCACCTGCCAGTTTCTTAAGATATCTTTGCAACAAACAGTCATAGCAATATTTTGCCATTGTTTTTTCCAGTAAAGTGTACATAAAATACCAAATAAGGCAACACGAGAAAATCCTATTTTTTTCTGTTTGTTAACAAACTAGAAGAGGAAAAAAAAATGAATAAAATACAAACAAAAAACTGCCAAAGATGCAAGTTCTGAAAAAAATCACTGTTTATTCAGTCAACAGGTAAAGTACTTCCATCCTTGTATATAAATTACTAGCACAGGTACCAGGCTATCCTAAACTCGCCTTTAACCCAGTGCATTTACCTGGAATATGCCAGGTACTAATTATCTTTCTCCATCTGCTCAAATTAGTTTCTTTATTGCCAATACCTGTTCTCAGGTTAGGTCTACACACATAAACGAACCAGGGTCAGGGCACTGCTCCATACTGCTCACTGAAAGTATATTCCTTGGCAAAAATTTGACTACTGAGGAAAAACTCCTGCTGCAAAATCCACCCAGGAGCAGTTCAGAGACCAGCAGGCAACCCAGGCAATCCACTCAAATGAGTGAGGAACCTCCTCAGTCCTCTGCGAAAAAGTCTTGAGCTCCTTTTGGCATAAGGAGCAGGATAATACATCTTATTCACCAGTACAGACAAAGACTGTATTTTTTAGGGTTCATCATGAGAGATGATCTGTACAGAGCAGACAGAGAGACAAAACTCATAACAGCTACAAGCAGCCTGGGGACCTGGAGCCTCTCCCAGCAGCAGCTCTGGTCCCCTGGTTAAGGCACAGGAGACCAGGAGCACAGCTCTTCTGCATCACATCTTACCACTGAGCTCTTTGCTACTTCTGCCATGGTAATTCTCTCTTCCTAAGCAAAGATCCCATCCAACATCAAAAAACCTTTCTAACTTAGGTCTTATTGAAACAAGTACAACCACATACAAAATTTTGATTGCTGTCAGTATTTTTGTCCCACCCTTCCCCTCCCCTAATCCATTAGAAAATGTCCAAGTATCTTTACTCCAAGGGACAAGGGACAGTATTGTTAGATTAAGATGCCAAGTCACTTGTTATATCATGGAGTATAAGTACTTTAGCACAGTTGCACTAGTACAATGAAAATAATAAATCCTATTAGTGTGACTGTGCTTTAGAGAAGAGGTTCAGACTGGAATGACATTTTTATTACTGGGGAAAGACAGACTGATTTAAATTTCTGGAAAGGAAAAATCAAGAAAAAATAATTAAAAATTAAGCTGAGATGCAATCACTTGTCCTTTCCCTAAGTATCTTAAGTAAAATGCTAACAGTGACAGATTTTAAAACTACATATGCAATTAGCTTAGATATATTCAAAAACTTCATGTGTTAAAAAATTTGGACTAATTTCATACTATAAAAGTCCTACTGTCACTTCACAACAAATGTCATACAATACAGCAGCATTGTTAGAAGGGCCTAACTTAAAGACCAGGAAGGTACATAACCAAAAAATATTTGGCATACTCTGAATTTAATTCTGATTTTAAACACATCAGTATAGACCAGAATCAATTGAAAAAGTTTCTTAATTGCAAACATCGAAGTCAGTGATGGCAGAACCACAGCATATTTACCAAATGTATTTAAAATGAAACCAACATAATACGAAATATCATCACAATAACTGAAGCTTAAGAAGCTCAGAGTATTTACAGCATTTTAGCTTATAAACACGAGCACAAGAAAGGCATCGTTCATAGGGTACTGTATGAGATACTAATGAAGACCTATTCTTGGGCCCTGCCAGTAGATAATTATCTTTTCAGCTTCCATGATTTTGAAAGTTTATTCTTGAAGAAAGCAGAACTTAATAATAACTAAATGAAACAGTAAGTTCTACAGTATTGATGTTCTAAAGGGAGAAACTGTAGGATTGATCCTTTTCTATTAAGGATTTAAAAAACCCAAAAATCAGTTTGAGAATAGTATCAAGGAACTGTAAAAATGACCAAGATAAAGTTTAGGAGAAAAAAAGACACCCTTTGCCCTATAGTAAAGTTCACAAAAAATTCAACTGTGAAGAATAAAATCCTACCATGTTGGGTGCTGGGGGTCTCTGTCTCTTGTATATCTAAAACTGCAGAACTCTATGAGAAACTGTAAATATTTTGCAAATTATTCTGTATAAACAAAGATGCCCAGGAAATAATATAGCTGTAGGGACTAACTCTTAAGTAGATGTGATATGGAGACAATAAATTTGCAAGCAGTTCTAAAAATCCACTAGTAGAGAGGGACAATGGAGGGAATGAATTCAATATAGTGATATCATGTCATTTTCACACTACCAAGCTCCTAATTTTTGATGCCATGACAAAATGAGACAAAAAAACATGTTTCATATTTTCTTTACATTTTTTACATATATACACCAATGCTGTACTGTTTTATAAACAGTGAAGCGAAAACATTTTGGTGCCTTCCAGCCACATGCACACACTACATAAAACATGCTGCTACGTAATAAAATGTAGGACTTGAGGGAGAGAGATTTCACTAAGCTGGTCAGAGATGAAATGCAGTTATATAATCAAAGTATTTTTAAATCTATGCAGATATTTTTTTAAAAAATCTGGCAAACACAAAAGTGGTAGTTCATGTAGAATATTAATAATACAACTAGAAAAGCCTGCACACCTCATGTCAGGTGGCTAAGCCAACTCGAATCCAGGAAACTGCTACCCACAAGTGTCTCCAGAGGAGCCTCCCCCAATGCTTGGCAGGGGTTAGGGATGCTTGCACATCTCTGACAAAGCTGGACCACAGAGCTTGCCTGCCAGCTTTGTGCCTTCGTTGAGTCACCAGCTGCCACGCAGAGACACCACAGCAGTGACATTTCTTAAAGCCTTAATCACATACATGTTTGCCCAGTCGAAGTCTGCAAGTCACAGCGCTGCCAGTTTTGTAAAGCTACACTCCAGAATTTGTGGTGCCTTACGAAAGCTGCAATGGTTATTCCTCTTACTCTTAGTATTAGAAGTGCTGTAACAGGCATGTAAAGGGATGTAAATATACTAGAATTGCATTTTACTTCACTTCTGGTTTTGAAAGCACTTTGTACATAGGGAGCTACACAGGTTTCATTAAACATTGGGTATTTTAAGTTGGTCTTAACTTTCTTAGTAAACTGTGTATAAGCTGTGAATTTTCCTCTCATATTAAAAATGACCAAAACAGAACAAACTCACATTAAAACAACAAAACCACCTCACATTCTACAGGGAAAATATTGCTGTTATATATTCCATTCATTTTTCTTGTAAGTCAGGAAAAATAACATTGTGGTGGGCTGACACTGGGTGGACACCAGGGGCCCAACAAAGCCACTGTATCATTCCCCTCCTCAGCTGGACAGGGGAGAGAAAATATAATGAAAGGCTCCTGGGTTGAGATAAGGGCACAGAGAGATCACTCACTGGTTACCATCACACACAAAACGGACTCAATGTGGGGAGATTAACTGACTTTAGTATCATTCAAATCAAAGTAGGATAATGAGAAATAAAAACTAAATCTTAAGAACACCTTGCCCCACCCCTCCCTACTTTAGTATAAATCAAAGTAGGATAATGAGAAATAAAAACTAAATCTTAAGAACACCTTGCCCCACCCCTCCCTTCTGTCCAGGCTTAATTCCACTCCTGAATTCTCTATCTTCTCCCCCAAAAGTGTCGCAGGGGGATGGGGAATGGCGGTTACGGTCAGTTCCTCACACCTTGTCTCTGCCACTCCTTCCTCCTGAGGGGAAGACTCCTCACATTTTTCCCTGCTTCAGCATGGGGTTCCTCCCAGAAGAACACCTTGCCCCACCCCTCCCTTCTGTCCAGGCTTAATTCCACTCCTGAATTCTCTATCTTCTCCCCCAAAAGTGTCGCAGGGGGATGGGGAATGGCGGTTACGGTCAGTTCCTCACACCTTGTCTCTGCCACTCCTTCCTCCTGAGGGGAAGACTCCTCACATTTTTCCCTGCTTCAGCATGGGGTTCCTCCCAGAGGAAACAGTTCTCCACCAACTTCTCCAACCTAAGTCTTTCCCATGGCCTGCAGTTCTTCATGAACAGTGTGAATCCCTTCATGGATTGCCATCCTTCAGGAACAGAATGCTCCAGTGTGGGCTCATCACATGGTCACAAGTCCTGCCAGCAAACCTGTTCCAGCGTGGGCTCCGATCTCCATGGGGCTAATGGGTCCTGCCAGCATCCTGCTCTAGCATGGTCACATCCTCCTTTGGGCATCCATCTGCTCCAGTGTGGGGTCTTTCATGAGCTGCAGGTGGGTATCTGCTCCACCACAGATCTCCCTGGGCTGCAGGGGCACAACCTGCCTCACCATGGTCTGTACCAGAGGCTGCAGGGGAATCTCTGCTCTGGCTCCTGAAGCACCTCCTCCCCCTCTTTCTTCACTGACCTTGGTGTCTGCAGAGTTGTTTCTCCCACATATTTCACTCCTCTCTTCTCTGGCTGCAGTTTCTGTTGCTCAGCAACTTTTCCCTCTTCTTACATCTGTCATCCCAGAGGCACTACCTCCAACACTGACAGGCTTGGCCTTGGCCAGCGACGAGGCATCTTGGAGCCACTGGCATTGTCTCCACTGGACATAAGTGAAACTTCTGGCAACTTCTCACA